GGGTCCTTTCGAACTACTGACCTTGGGGATCATAGTCCAATTAAACCACCAAGGTTCCTTTGAGTTTAAGTAGCTGACTCAAAGAATAAACAATGTCACAATGGAAAGATAGAGTTGTCTGTCCCTGAAACAGTATGAGTTTATATTAGCTTTAAATCTCTTTTGAGCTGGCAGGGGAAAAGGGGCTCTACTTCCGGTATTAAAAAATACTGGGAGTTAAGTTCACTTTCAGCTTCTCTGTGGCTACTATGAATTTAAGATTTTAATTGTTTTCTTTAACTTTTCAGACAACGAAGCTAAAAAAACAGAACCTCAGGTAAACACGTTGTGTCTTGCATAGGCTATGACCAAACTATAAGGAGTCCTGGTGGCATAGTGGTTATGAATTGGGCTGCTAACCTCAAGGTCAGTAGTTCGAAATCATCAAACTCTCCATGGGAAAAACACGAGGCTTTCTACTCCAGTAAAGAGTTATAGTCTTAGAAACCCAGAGTGGCAGTTCTACTCTGTCCTATAGGGTTGCTACGAGTTAGAATGAACTCAATGGAGGCATTTGGTGCTAAACTATGTTACCTTAGGTAAATCAGTGCTATTTTCTTTCTGCAAAATGAGTTACATGGAAGTATCTTTGTTTCTCTCCAGTTCCATTTCCAGGACTAATTTCGTTGATACAAAAGAACCACCACTACCAAAAAAACCCCCCCAAAACTTAACAAATACAAAACACATAGTAACTGAAGTTTAAAAAAAAAGTAAAAAAAAAAAATTCTGGTAGAATTCATCACATTACCTTGAACTTGTTTCACTGGATTGTTTGCAAAAGTCAATCAACACCCACACAATAGCTGAACAATGGTCACATTTAGTCAGAAAACAACACATACTAAAACTGAGGCTAAATTCCAAGGTGGAAGATTGAACAGGAGGGTTTCAAACATTTTATAAGAGGCTTCAAAAAAGATCATGGAAAAACGGAATTAAAAGGCAATGGAAATAGCTCCTGATGTTGAACTTTACTTGAGTCCTGTGATCCTAATAAATCAGCAAAAGGAATCTCCCCACTCTTTAGTGTTTGGGAGAACCACCCTTCTCTATAAGATTTAGTTTAAACTGAAGAGATGACCCTTTGTTTACCAGAAATGAATACTCTAAATTCCTATTCCACCTCACAACGTTCAGTTGAACTTCTTGATCCCATAATCCAACAAAATGTTTATGAATCCAACTTTAAGATATTCCGTTTCTGAAGTATTTGGTCCATCAGTCGAAGCCAATATGTAGCCCCTCTTTACAACAGGCTGGCCTCAAGATTAGACAATCTCTGATCTACTGTCTTGCCATACATTCTCTCATCCTACTTTCCCATACTCGTTTCTTTCTTACATTTATTCCTCCTTATTGAAGAAAAATCTTTTTGTATAAATCCTTGAGATATCTCCCTAATTCCCTCACCACCACCCCTCTCCCTCCTGAAATAATCAGTTTCTCCTTACCAAGTCCAAATATGTTTTTTATGTAACCTTTATAAGTTCCAAAGATGCAGGGTTTAAAAAGTGACCTGACTGCCATTTCCATAGGTGACAAGTGTTGATCCTCAAGGCAGTAGAGCCTCTCCCTAAGGCTGAAAACGTTTTTAAGAGCTGGCGTTCTTGGCCCCTGCCCTATTACTGAGAAAGGTAGTGGGCTGGAGAAGGTGACCTGCCAGTAAAGGTCAAGTGGACCACCTGGCGAAAAGAGCCAATTACAGTGAATGGGACATGAACACGAGGGTTACTTAATCAATATTCTTCGACAGATCTGCCGGTCCCCTCTCCCCGCGCGCTTGAGTCTAGCAACCGAGGGGAATGATGTTCCTTCTTCAGGGGCTCGGGGGAAGCTGGTGAGTACGGTCCTGCTCTGACCGGCTCTCACAGGACTGAGTCCCCCTAAAACCTTCCTCCTGGCCACTGTTATGCCAACCTTCGGCGCTCGACTCACCATGGCGCCAAGGGTAGATCTTGCAGCTGATGCTCAGAAGTCCTCGGAACAGAACCGACCCGGCCCTCCCCACCGGGTCCGGCAGTCTCTGGAAACCGTGAGGGAGAGGGTCTTCCGGCTCTGCCGGAAGTTCTATCCGCGCGGGACAGGAAGTCCCTCCCCCCTCCTGAATGGCGACGGCCCCACGCCACGCAGAGGTGAGGAGACGCAAGACGTCCTCTAAAGCGACTTCCGTGGGCGCTAGGTCAGGGGATGGGGGCGGTGCTGACCTTGAGAACGCTCTGCGGGGAGGCGCAGGCGCAGCGCAGGTAAGTGGGCGGGCGGCGCCGTCGCAACTCCTGCGGGAAGCCCGAGGTAGGTTGGGTAGTTTCGGCCAAGCGCTACCTCCCTCGTCACCTTTGAGAGTGAAGGTGACGAGGGAGGGAGCAGACCCACCCGCCGTAGACGTAGTAAGGGCGAAGACCACAGGCGGTACTAGCGCTGCGGCGACGTGGTGATAGCTCCGCTCAGCCGTGCGCGTACTCTCTACCCTCGTTTTCCTGATCCAGGCACTTAGAGACCGTCCCCATCTCCTAACACCTGCTCTGCAGTCTCAGCAACCTGCCTTAGTTGGTCCTTCTGTTCCACCCTTTCCAGGCAGTGGAATTTGATCCTGAGAAGTTTCTCCACTATTCGGTTACCAGCTGGAGCCAGAGACATCTACCGAGAGCAGAGAAAGCAGAAAGCTACCTCTTCTTTTAAGACGCTCCAATACGGACGATTTCTTTTTCTTTTCATCCAAAAAAAAAAGGGGTGGGGGAATAATGTCGGATGGAAAGAAGTGAAGCATCACAATGCCTCTTAATTTGTGTTTTGCTTTTTCCAAAATCTCTGCCCGTCACCTCTTGCGCCTTTTTATTTGGCTGTGTGACAAACAGTCCTGGAGGCTGGCTTGGTCTATAACAGAGCGCCTTCAACCCAGAAATTAATCTCAGAATGTGGGCATCCTTATTGAAGTCGTGGCTATACCTACAATTTCATCCTTGGATAGTTTTTAGGCCTGTGTCGTTGTCATATAGTTGGAATTGAGCAGGTAGCTGAGAAGCTTCGGAAAAAGTTAAGAGCCGCTGGGAAGGCAAGGGTGTTATGTCTCACCTTACATATCTAAGTACCCGCAGAGCACTGTAAATGGCTCCCCAAACAGTAGGGAATCAGAATTCTGAGACACCAAAAAAAATGACACGTAGAGCTATTGCTTTATGTTAGAGGGCTAGAGAATGGGTGTGTGAAATACATTGCTTTCACTTCAAATTTTGTTTTGTGGAGGGATGCATTGGTAGGAATGAGAGAAGAATGGGAACCTAAGAATTGACATTGGAAAAAGCTGGAGGTAGGTTGGACAGGGGTGGGGGGTTGGGGAGAAATGGTGCCAAAGATTAATCCAGAATTTCCCTAAGGGTTCTGATTCTGCTGTGTTGGGAGAGGAATGTAAATAGACAAGCCCCAGGCATATGCAGATGGTCAGTGTAGTGGAGAGGGATTGGGGTTGTCTGCGGGTGTATCTATGGCAAGTAGCTGCTGCCCTTGAGGACAAACCTATGGAGAAGGATGGAAAGTGGCTGTCAGCTTGTCAGTGACAAGGCAGTGAAGTCATACTCTTATTTATGACACTGCTTCTGAAACAAACCTTGCAGCCTCATTGATGTTCACAAAGCATCTCCTCCTACGTGACAGTAACATTGGAATTATCAAGGTAGAATCTATCTTTGCCAGAATAAAACCACAAAAGTAAATCAGATAAATATCTATCATTTTTAATAGATCATGGAGTTCTATGTTTCTTATTTACTATCTGAAAAGTTTATAGCCCATCGTTAATATCATTTACTGTTTATGTTTCAGAGGTATGTCTTGTAGTGTGAGAAATTTGTTAAACAATAGTAATTTTACAACATTAAAATCATCCAGTATATGCTTTAAGGCAATGCCCTTGGATGTTCTTTATCCCATGGTTTAATGATAAGCTCTGGTACTGTTTACATTCCTTGAAGTAGAGCAGTGTACCTGTTCTTAGTATTTACAATAGATGGGGTCTTTGACAAAGATGCATTTGGCAGTCAAGAGAACATAGCAAATTATGAAAGAGAAAAAAATTGTGGATAATGAAGATTAAAATGAAATTGAGTAGTTTGGGCTAAGGAGTAAAGAGCACAGTCTTTGAGAAATGTTTTGCTTATCATTAGAACTTCAAGGTTTTGAGGGGGGAAAAGGGACCTTGTTCAATATTAGGCAGACCCGAAAGACTTTCAACCATTAAAACCTATCACTTTTTCCAAAATATTTTTCTGATTAGCTTCTGTTCTAACAATTTTTTTGCTTTTCCTTTAACATTTAATGCATATGATTGCTATATGCATTTTGTATGCAGCACCTTGTAATTGTAGATTTTCTCCCCCCTAAATTATATTGTCTTCCTGTTTAGACTGTAAACACTTTGAGCTAAGACCTTGTTTTGGCATTGCCCACTTCCCAACACTACCCCCACCCCATGCCCTCCACATATGCATACACACTGACTCAATGCTTTTTCAATTTAGCCCAGATCACTTTAGTTAAATTGCCCTTAAATGTTTTATAGACAAAGGTGCTAGTTATAGCAATAATCACAATTGTGAAAAATTAGCAACCTCCTTACAACAGAGAATGGTCCGATTCTCTTATGGGTACTTAGTCAAATATCTCACAAAACAAACAAACTGCCATAGTCAATTCTGACTAATAGGGACCCTGTAGGATAGAGTATAACTGTCCCTGTGAGTTTCCGAGTTTATAACTCTTTACAGGAGTAGAAAGTCTCATCTTTCTCCCATAGAACACCGGTGGTTTTGAAATGCTGACTCTGCCGTTAGCAGCCAAATGCATAGCCACTAAACCAGAACACTTTAAAAATATCATCTAGCTATTTTTAAATGCTATTAGATTAGCGTTTATAAAGGAAAAACAGTGTGCCGGCTATAAATGCTTTGACACAAAAGAAGCATGTTAAATATAAAAAAGTAAACAGAAACCAAAATATGACAGGTGGTTTTAAATTATAATACCAAAGGCGATGGTATATAAGAGAGCTTGCAAAAGTTAGTGAAAAATGGAATTAAAAGATAATGGAGTTTTTTTCCACGAACTTTTTAAGTCCTCTTATATAATAATTGTGTTGCCTTCCTTGGACCTATTCCTTTACATGTTGCTTACTATTCTTGTATCTTGTACTATACCACCCATCTGATTAATTGGTGGAAAAGCAACTGAGAATTTTATACAAATTGTACGAAACATAATTTCAAGGGTCACTAACATACATAATAAGATTTTGTTATAACACCATATGTTAGTAAATTTTAAAAATCAGCATCAATAGCAAAACAATAAATAAAACTCTTATAAAACTAACTTGTTTGAAACCTAAATTAGTTTTACATGTTCATTCAATACTTATTATCTTATAATCAGGAACAAATACTTTATTGGAGATTCTAGGTGATATATTAAGCAATAAAAGGAATAAAAGTAAGATTGAAAATGGAAAAACAAAGAATCTACAAGTAAATTACTAAGTAAGAAAATTTGCAAGCATTCTGTATATTAGTATACAAAAGAATTGCATTTCTTCTCAGCAGACGTGAACTGTTAAAATATTTTTTTATAGGTACCATTTACTATATCATCGATCACTTAGCAGAGTAACAAAAGATATAAAAGGCTTTATGGACAAAATTAAGAACTTCATTGAAAGACATTAAATAATATCTAATAAAAAGAAATATACCATGTTCAAGAACAAAGACTCAGAATTCAGAAGTTGGTTATCTCCTGGTCAATTAAAGTAATTGCAAATAAAAATCTAAAAAAACTTTTCAGGGAACTTGACAAGCTGAAACTAATAGCCACATGAAAGAGCCTTGGGCCAAAACAATTCAAGATACTCCAGGTGCAGATTTCAGATGGGGAGAATTATGTGGTATCAATTATTACAAAGCTATTATGATTAGGTATTCATAATAAAAAGTGGAAATAATCCAATGATGAGTAAATAAAATTAAATGTCTTTATAGAAAACTAGAGAGAACAGAACATAGATTAGGATTTAGAGGAAATGCAAGACGAGGAAGAGGTGTGTGCTATAGCCAAAAAATTAGGGATTTCATTTAAAGTAAATAAAAATATGAAGTTGCTGATAGTTGCGCATATATGTGAAAATGCTAAGAACCATTGATTTGTACACATTAAGGGGATGAATTGTATGTAAATTATTAATAAAGCTGTTTTAAAAAGAAACTTTAATAATAAGGATAGCCTTATATTGCCTTAGGGATAGAAATTTTGATATTTTCTTAAGTAGTGAATTCATTTTTTTATGAAATCTTGGTTTTAAGGCAGCAATGAGGTTGCAAGCCAATGGGGAAAGTGCAAGTATTTCCGTCATAGGTGTTAAATGTCCATATGGAAATCATAAAATCAAACCTCTAGAACACCATGAAGAAAAATTAGTTCCAGAGTTGAATTAAATATATAAGTATAGAAGGAAAATAAGTCAAATTTTTAAAAGACAACATAGCAAATTATATATACATACATAAACACGTACGTATATGTCATCTTTTAGTAAACAAATACAAACTCCATTAAAAAATATATTGAAGTTTAAAACCTTAGTTAATCAAAAGACATTTACTAGAATTGATAATTACTATGCAAATTCAGAGTTGGGTCATTTAGTGGTCCCAGTGGGTGGATAATGTCTTGAAATTGAGAAGGTGTTTTCCTTACCATTGAGAAGAAAAGCCTCTGCCAGAGCTCTTCTTCCTTTGGATGCAGGGATTCTATCTGAGAATCTCCTGCTAATGTCCAGGAATCATCAAATCAAGCAGAGAATGCCATGAGTTTGGGAAGAGCCAAAGAGGGGAAGATGGCTGTTGTCAGAACGGTGAAGAATTTGGAGAATAGAAGTAAACTTTAT